ATCTTTCTTCTTTGCATGTCTGCTTGCTCGTGCTTGCTAAGTTGCTCTGTGCTCTGCATCCTCCTTCTTTATCCTCTTCCTTAACTCCTTTCCTCACCGTAGCTCTCGCTCACACACTTCTCCCTGTTTCCCTTTCCCCATTCTTTAATTCATCTCTTCTTATTGGATACCTTTGATTTCCTTTAGGTGGATGGCTTGTTGTCAAGAACACCACTTTAACATCTTCTTCACCAACTACTGTCATTGTTAATAAATATGATTACCGATCTCTTGAAACATTCGAGAATAATTTTCTCCTTCATGGYWCCGGTCTCTCCAGCTTAAAGAACGACATGGGTTTTACTCARATACGATTCTACTGTAAAAAGAAACAGGTTAATAGGGTTCTCCATATCATGACGACACAAGAYGACTTTGGATATGCAGCTGTAAGGTAAATTCTATCTTTCGTTATTGTTTCAGTCCTTTCAAATTTGGAAAGATCTAACAAAAAATTATTGAATTCAACTCTCCCTCTTTAACCTGGCCAACCCATTTTATATTATCAGGCCCTATGTCTYTCTCAGTGGCGAAACTGAGCACTTGTACTTTTGAATACTCTTCCCCAATTCGTGTCCTCATTGTCACCATTTTTGTAGTTCACATCCTTGCMTGAAGAAAATCCAGGAACCCCCCCTGTTGGCCAACTTTGACATCATTTCTTACAAATGTTTTGATAATCTTTTATCAAAGAATATATGTTTCCAGGTATTTGGCGGTTTCGAATTCTCCATTTGGACCAACTGCTTGTAATTCCTTYACTCGRTTACCCGACGACACATCTCGRCTGTCRCAAAACTGTGCAAARTGGGGCTACAAKAACGGCGCGATTGAAGGCRACCACTGGGGACATAGTAAAAACACSGGASAAMACCGTATGTATAATCAAATAATCTTTTGGTCAGGAAAATATCAACTGCTGATGAGATCAARGTACTCCTGCGACGATTTAGAGGAAAGCGATAATCATTCAGTTGGGGACACGTACAAAATGTTCGTTCGCTAAATTATCGTTCATTTTATATAACCTTTATGGAATAGAAGTTCACATTGGACAAACGCAACATAATTTTTGAGCTTAACGGTATAATTAGTCACCAAGCACTGTCAAATATTGTCAGGTGACCTCTGAAATASTAAGCAATGATAGGGTGGTCGAAAGGCCTCGAATTCCAACCTTGTTTACTTTGATGCTACAAACAAAGTGAAAAGACGGCAAACACGCTGAGKCGCCCAACAWTTTTTTGRTGGCGTTTGTTTCTCAACAAGAGACCTCCTCGACTAGGGCAATGGTTGTCCCATTTCAGCCCCCTTGCGAAGTGAAATTCTTCGTTTCCATGAACTCCAACGATACATGAATATGGATAGCGGTAAAAGATAGAAATCTACTCCCAAGGTGTCTCAAATGGGACTACAATTAAACTGCCTGTCAATGAATTATATATCAGTATTGTAAAAGCTATTATAGCGTAAGAGACTTAAAGTCCTTGTATTTGGGCTTGTAAAACATCACCCGTCGCATTTCATCTGACACCTTTCACTGTGACGTGAACGTTCTTGAAATCGCTGTATCCACAGGCCCTAACAGACCGTATCATCTAGAGTCGTTTTCGACTGCATGTATTCACGACTTTCCATACCCAGATTCAGTGTCCAAGAGACAAAGCATAAAATAGAGGTGTCAAGGTACACTAGTGAGGGCATACCTTTCCCTTTTTATTGAATATGCCCTGGAAATGTGTAATCTATCCATAATCTCCATATATGTAATGAAAAAATGAAAGATTTTCTTTCAATCTTAAAAGAAAATACTCACAAATGTTTTTCTGAATTTTGGTCAAATAAGGTAAATTAATTCAACAGGTCATGGGAAATTATTTTTCGTCAAACAAGTCAAACATGATGTATATTTTGAGAATAATTTACAAAACGTTACAAATGTTAACCATAGGAAAGCAGTAACAAAATTAAGGATTTCTGCTCACAAACTACCTATAGAGTCAGGTAGATATAATGGAATTCCTTACGAACAGCGTTTTCGTCACCTTTGTGACTTAAACGCGGTTGGTAACGAATTTCATAACTTGACGGCATGCAATAACAACGAAATAAGCTTTCTTGGAAAGTCACTCTTTACAACACATATAGCAATTTCAAAACYTTCACAGGTTATCATTGCTTTTTCCAAGTGATATACATTGTCAATGAAAGATGACTCGTAAATATAACTAAAGATAACTTGTAAATATAACTGCGAAGTATTGTTTTAATGTTCTAAATCCGCACAGTAATTTAGACAGCTAGTATATATATATTTTTTTGCTAAAGTTAAATTGTATGTTTTAATGTGCCATTTCTGGTATTTATGGAATAAGGAATTATTATTATTATCTTTCCCTTTATGCTTTGTTGGTGGGCACTGAAACTGAGTGTGAAATAAATAACTAAAAGAACATTAGATTCAGATTGTAATACCAAATCCTAGACATAAAAATCTTTCATAGTCAAATAAAAATGACTCTCTATAAATATTTTGACATCTTTGTGTACATGGGACACGATGACAAGTCGTGTATGTTGGTTTAGAGATATTAAAAATCCCATATAAAAGACATGTATTTGTATAAAGGAAARGTGAGTACTCATATTAAACTCTACAACTGCCTAAATAACGATATTCAAATAGCTTTGCTGTCATAAGTTAATCAAAATACAAGAAATAGAATTCATGGCTTTCACCCATTCCCAATATTCAAAAGATAAAAGACCGGCGGCCATGTTAGAGGAATAAGCAATAGATACTAATGAGAAATCCTTTGTTGAAGTTCCTCCAAGATGGCCGCTGTGACTGACCAGAAAACCGTGAAAATAATTTGAAAATCCTTGAATAGAATAAAGTAGAAAGAATTAGACTTTTATTGAACTTGGAATAAATCCTTTCAGTTGTACAATCACCATCGCCGTTTGATTAGGCAATCTCTTTAAAATATAGCCTTGTGCGATTCACAAATAGATTTTGGTTAGCCAGCTCACATTTTAACTCGATAACGGGGTATTTTAAGGCTCACAAATRTCATCCCTCGTGGCAGTCATAATGTTTACAAAATGTCTCCGAGTGAACAGAATCTCACTGTGTCACCTGACCAGATGGAAAGCCTGCGCTTGTGCAGCTTGCAAGGCGAAAAGTTAGTATTTCACTGATGATTGTAGCATTGCTACCTCATTTTTACGACACCATGATGTTGTTACTCGTGTTTTGTTGTCTTGCAGTCTCTTTGGTGGGTCATGTCGTCGAAGGTAAGTGCAAAGGACATTTCTTTTTCCCTAGGATTTTATTTCTTGTTTTGGTAAGTCTTTTTTTTGTGTGTTTTGTTCTTCGTCTTATCTTCCTCCTTATTTTGCTTCTTAAACCGATATCATCCTTCTTCTTGTTCTTCGTGTTCTCCTTGTTCTTCTTGTTCTCCTTGCTCTTCTTGTTCTCCTTGCTCTTCTTGTTCTCCTTGCTCTTCTTGTTCTCCTTGCTCTTCTTGTTCT